GATAAGTCGGGGAACTTTTCAAATGGTGGAACATTTTCGAAGTGAAACCGAATCTTATTCTCCGCATTTAATTTCTGAAAATATCGGCGAAAATCTGCAAGTTATGGCCGATTATCGATTAGTCTCAAATGGGCTAAAATTGGCCGATTTAATCGGCTCGCCAATAAATCAGACGTGCCCTAATATTTAGCTTGTCATTGTTTCGTCCTGTCAATGCAAAAAGAGTAATTCACAATTATTTCTTATCTTTTTTTTTTTTTGCAAAATCAGCGCTGTGGAGCTGAGAAGTTTGGGAACCTGGTGTAGATGTTAAGTCTGTAATATTTGCCAGTACTGGTGCAGCTGCTCTTTCAATCTGCTCATAACGTTGGAGTGGCACAACTAGGAGAAAAGGAAATTCAGTTTTAACTTTCCAGGGACAAGTGATTTCCTCTTTATATTCATTCGAAAATGCCAGAATGGAGTCCTTGTAAGTTATTGCACTTCAGTATTTTAAAGGCTGGACACAAATGGCCAACCCAGAGAGAGTAAGTGTACATAAAAGACCCACACACATATCTACAACTGCTCCTCTCCTGCAACCTTGACTCCAAATCCAGCCCTGCAATTAGAAACAAAATGAGGTGTGCTGTTGCTGAAAAACACTGAGATTGACCCACTTGAGCGCAGTCAACAATGAAGTAGCTTTTCTTTACCTTTTGTTGTCGCCTCTCTGCCCGTCTCCTCTGCTGCCAGGAGGGGGGAGGCGGTTTGGCGAACAAGGTCTTTGAGTACTAAAATGACTGTTGTTGTGTGATGTTTACAGCAGCCTCAGAATCCAGGCGACAAATTACACTGTCAGGGACACATCCATGTGCGATGAAGAGGAGGAGAAGCTTCAAATGTTCACCATTGAACACCTTCAATGGCTGGTAATACAAGAGGCGTGGCTGCTCCTATTAAAATGTGGGCCTGAATCAATAAGAGGCATAATTAGAGTTGTTAGAGCAAATTAAAACATGGCTATTATGTGGCTGTACAATGTTGCTCCGTAAACTGTTATTACAGAGAGAGGAGCTTTGTGTTTATGTGTGTGTGTGTCTGTGTTTGTGTGTGGATGATGGAGTGGGATTTGGGCCGTCGGTTAGAGATGGAGGATTAGATGCGATAGTTGCCTCTTTCTACTGTAATTACCACTCCCTTTATTGACAGAATGCTCACTTTTCTCCGGCTTTGTCTAAACTACAATTTCCTCCATTGTACAGTAGTAATTTTGGAGTGTATTTCTGCAGCAGCAGTGCCCATTTTTCACTGTTAGAAATTGTTGCTATCTTCACCTTAGATGAACAGAAAGCTTCTACTCACACTCTGTGAGCCTGCACTTCACTCAGTCATTGTATGTAGAATTCAAGCATTTTCTGTATCTATACATTCTGTAATAAAGACACATCGCTTACATGTATATTTAAAAAGAAAAAAACGGAAAAAAAACAATTGTCACGATATGCTCTCAGTTACAGTCTGACCTCTCTAAATTCGGCAGGCTAGATGAGAGGAAAAATACTGTTGATGTTTTCACGCTCATTTAAATCCACTTATGGTGAATTATCAGAGGGAGGGACTGGTTATGTTGATTTTGGTGCCCCCTGTAGGCAAAGTAGTTGCTGTTGATCTTGTCATGAGAACAGTTGTTCAGGGATGGAGAAAGGAATCACATTTTCTACTCCAATAAGTGGAGATACTTTGATAAAATGTTACTTAAAGCTCCTGTAAGTAGTTTTGTATTGTATTGTTTGATGCCTGAAAGCTTTGCGTGAGGGTAAGTGTCAGCCAAGCAGCCAAAGAAGCAGTACTGTTTTTATGTTTTTCATGTAAATGTTCACAATTAGTGATGAATTTGATCATCAAAAAACAGGAGTCTAATAATGCCCCCAAATTATGCAAAAGTAACAAACAACATTGATGTATGAAGTGAGTTTGACTCTGCAGCATCCAGGGTAGAGTTACTGAATATTTTGGCAGCGCAGTTTGTCAGTATTGGACTTTGTAGATGTCTCCTCACACTTCGGTCATGATGGTGTGTGTAGATGTATTCGTGCAAGCAAAGACCGAAGACTTAGTTGACCATACTGAGTAAAAACAGCAACATTTTGTGAACGGCTTTCTTGAAATGAGGAGTGATACTTAGAGAAGTAAGAAGTACTGTAAGACTTATTTCAAGGCACTTTCCAAGACAGTTCAGCTTGAAATATCTTAAAACATGATGTATGTTTTGATCTGTCAGGTCATCATCCTGTCAGCTGGCTTTCTTGTACTTGATGAAAAATTTGAATAATTTTTGCTTTTATGTTTTATATTTAAAAAAAGTTGATCTGTATAGCTCAATGGAACCCATGGTACAGGTAGTGAATTGTTGTTTAGCGTGTTTTAATTTTTTTAGATATAAAGATAACTAGATTTGCAAAGCTGACACATTGTTGACTTGACAGAAAGGCACACTGGAGCTATTTACAAGAAGGCTAAAACTCCACTTCACAAACAAATGGATGACATCACTAACCATATGACCCTTTGTTAAATTGTCGATATTTTAGACATGAAGTCTCACTGCATAAGGAAATATCCATGTGCAGTTGATGGACTCTTTTAGGTAAGAAAGTAGCATCTGTATAAATTCTACCTTTGTAAAAACAAGCCAAGAACAACTTGCTGGTTCATGCTGATTAACCTTATTAAAGGACCTTTTTGTCTCCTGCTAAGCCCCTCCCACCAGATAACGCCATGCTGGTTACTGACACTTAAAGGGTCGATATGCAGGAGGATAGTCGGGGTTACTTCAAGGTGTCAAGTAGACCTTTTTCTCACCCATCTTTCTGTGTGTCCAACGTTAAAAGTGGCATTTTTGTTCTCCTCAAGTGCAAAGTTTAGGTTTTTAAAGCGTGCACTTCTCAATTGATAATACTTATTTCCAATTCTCACAATTATTCAACAGTCTCTGACAAGTTCGCAGGGACAACAAAGCAGAACAACAGCCATCCTCACCCAAAATATGACCGTGGACAAGGTGCAGCATAATTGCTGAGTGCTCACTGACAGAAATCAATTTGAGGCGTGCTAATGGCCACAGTCCTCCACTGCAGAGTGCTCTCATTGACTGGCACACTGCTCGATCTGGTACAGAGCAAAGTTGGAACAATTACAGTAATCTGCGTGTGGAGTGATGGTCCTCCACATGGAGAGGAGCTGAGGTGAGTGGTGCTCAGCACTGATCAGCCCCCCATGACAAAGACAGGCAGTAAAGCGCGGTTTGGAGAAGTGTATGATGGGATAACAAAGTTCCACAGGGACTGAAGGTATTGATTGAGAAGAGTGACAATGACTGACTGTTTGCTCTCACCAAACATTTATAGTGAAAATCTTTAGAGGGGTGAATTTGTAACAGCAGGACAGAGCTGACAACCAGTGCATGGTTATTTCAGTGAGGCAGGACTGAACAATTTTTACACGAAATTTAACAATGACTTAATTTTTATTTCCAAAACTGTGATCATTATTATTGAACTTGGACTGCATTTGTGATCTTCAGAGAACCATGGACAACATTTTTAGTAATGACTAAAAATAACACTGACCCTGCATGATAAACGTGTTTCTAAATTTATATTAAAAAAGCCTTTAAAGATGAAAGACTCAATCTCAAGCTTTATGTTTATCATATCTACTGTAAATTTACATAGTTAAGTCTTAAAATGGCATTAGTTTTATGTATAATGTAGGTGTAAAGTACAATGCACATTTAACAGATCTTAATACTACGTAAGTCATAAAAGGTCAGCTGTTGTAACAAAGACAAATAGCTGGTTCTGCACAAGCAGTACAGACATGAACTTCTTTGTAAATTGTAACTAAACTAAATCACAAAGTATATTCCTTCAAATAATTGTAAGTCATGTAACTATAGACAATTATTGCAGCTCTGAGTTTTCATATAACTTCCGCCAGTGATGGCACAAGCAGTTTAACAAAGGCTTCAAAAACAGGTAATATGGCTTCAAATCTTTCAAACTGAATTATGATCGGGCATCTATACAGTGTTTTAGTTTGATGATTAAATAGATATTTTAGCATTGTTTCAATGTCTGACTTCCTGTCCTGCTCACTCTGCTCTGTGCTGACTGGTGCTCCAGCATCCAGCACAAAAAACACCAGATCTGCAGCAGTGGGCATCAGATCGCCAAAGCTGAGAAAGAACAGAAAAGCAGTGCCGAGGAGCCGGTGAAGCTGAATCATTGATCAGCTTTTATTGCAAAAAATAATGAAAATGAGAACTATGACTTTTCCCACAGACAGACCCTAAACAGACCATGCAAAATGAATAAAGTTTTCACTGGGTTTGCGTTACAACTCTTAAAGGTGCCTAATCTCAGAGTTCTGCTACAGCTGGCCTGCTGGCAGCTGCTGCTTCTTCTCCATCTCTCCTCAATTTTATGGCTTGTGTCAACCAGAAAATGGAAAACTACTCTGAGGTATACTTGATTTTGGCTCATAATTATATCATTCTTATTTATTAAAGATGGTTATTGACAATACTTGTATATTGGTGCAGCCCTGGTGCCACTCAAAGCTCTCTTTTTGATGGATTTACCTTGAAGTTTTGCCAAACTAAAGTGCAGTCACTGTTGCATTTAATTACATTAAATCAGTTTTAAATCCCAGTTTGTCAGATTGCATGTGTAAATATATTTGTAAACGATTGCCAATCAAGAACCTTGATGTAGTGGATATTGAATATCTGGGAAGGAGGGAGACACACCTCTCCACTCCATAAACTTGCCTCCTGTCTGTGCACACTGTTCTTTCCCCTCCTCGCTGCTCTCCCCTCTGTGGTCTTGCTTTAACTCAGAGCTATATCATACTCAGCACATCGAGGCTCAGCACATATAGGATAAACAATGCCACTGTCAGAGCCGTCACTTGGCTGCATCCCCAAATCAATTCCTCACACTCTTCCTGGATTAGCCATGGATGACTTAATTGATTCAGCACAGTCAAGTGATCTTCAAACAAACAGGCTTTTCCAACTCCAAAAGGGAGTGACAGCCACCAAACCTGAACTCTCTGGAGATGACAAATCATTCCTGCAGGCGACAGACGTTATTCTTAACAATGGTGGCTGCTGGAAAGATATCTCCTGCCTGTCCTACATTCCTATAGGCTACTACAGGAAACAGGCGAAGAGTGAAGCAAAACTGGTGACGGGTCATTGCTGCCGTTTACTAATCGAGAAGTCTTGAAGATAAATTTCTGTGATAACAGATACGCCTCGTGGATGGCACGTACCTCGGAGCTGTCGGCCAGAGCGAGACAGAGAGTCTTTTTAGGGGTTTTCCAGACTTTGCTGTTACACCACAGTTTAATCTTGCCTCGGAGCGCCGGGATGACGGACAGAGCGATTAACACCAGTTCTATCAGAGTCCAGTTAAACGTCAGCTGTTCTCGGTGGACTTCTTATTGTGCCCAAGCCCTAAAGAAGCACAGTTTTCATTGTAATGTACAAAAGGAGCAACTTATTCACAGTTTTCTCCAAGATATTTCCACGATTATTGTCACTCCCTGTGTGTTCGACATCCAGCATGTAAGAAATGATACCTTGATATTATCGCATTGCCAGATAAAGCTACATTTCCAGTTCTGGACCAGAAATTGTAAAAACTTTGACTCGAGTCTTGGGCAGAGTCCCAGGGAGTGAGTGATATGTATCCTCAGCTCTGTCAAACATCATCAGACAGGAAACAGGGACATGTTTACTGCTCTGCCAGGAGGACGTGCCAGGACAGGTTTCTCCCTCAGCAGGCAGAGATTGCAGAGGGAAGTGGAAGCAGCATGGAAATGATGTGTGGCATCGATGGAAATGGTGTCAAAATATCCTCCGATGTAAGCGCACGTACTTTACTCAAGGTGTATTCAAGCAGAGATAAAGGAGAAGGAAAACATTACAAGACAGTCAGAAAACTTGTTTTGAACTTGTGCTGCAGAATCTATTTGAGACAGTTTTTAAGGTCTTGGGGTGTTCTTGATGTCCCCTGCTTTTTGACATTTTAGATTAAAGGCCTGTGTCCATTTACAGCATTCTTTAGGACTGACAATAACTAGTGTTTGAAACTAATTCTTTCTGCACTCAGTGTATTGGCACAAAAAATGCTCTAAGCACCGGGTGTAGTTTCTAATGCTTCAGTTTTTGAACTCCACTGTTGTACTTCTTCCTTTCTGACCAATCAGAATTAAGTCGACGTGAAGCGTGGCTGGCTGGCCCCCTTCCTAGATGTACAACCCCACTTTCTCCGTTTCCTTGTCTATCCTCTGTCCTGTCCTCTTAAATAAAGACAAAATTGCCAGAAAAATACTTTTAAAGTAAATAAAAACTAATTTCAAGATGTTCTCCTGATGTGGAATTCCACAATTTAATTTTAAATTTCTTTACAAAGTATTTTTGGTAAGTGTTTAAATCTGTGTTGAGCGCCATGTCAACACTGATTGAGATTGGCTCCCTTAGCCTTCTCTTACAGGGGTATTGCTGTGGTGCTTTCCCTTTTGATCTAGTAAGGTATGCAGATGTCATCACACACAGCTTAGAGCAGCAATATAAAGAAAGAAAGAAATAGAAGACAGGATAAAAGATTTCTACAGTGGCAAATGCTAAACATTTATCAGTCACTCCAGCTGGTCAACAACATGTGCCAGAAAAAACATGTAGACAATGAGAAAGATGCATAGTGTCAGTAGGAACATATAGCCATATCACACTTGCAGATAAGTGACTGAAGTAACCATCAACCAGTTCAACAGGTGACAGAAATGCATTAGTTTACCTTGAACATACGATTCAGGTGCAGAGTGAAGAAAAATATGAGGAGCAGCTAACATTTTAGTGTCGTCCCTGCTCATCAATGAAAACAAAACATATGTTTGTCCTCGATGACGTATCATAACCAAATTAAGGAAGAAAACACTATTAAGATTTTGAGAAAAAGTCATAATGTTATGGGATAAGAGCTGCAGCAAAGCCATACTAGAAACAAGTCATTACTTTACAAGAACAAAGCTGGATTATTATTATTGTTGTTATTATTATTATTATTATTATTATTATTATTATAAGTAGTAGTAGTAGTAGCCACAGTATTTACACACTAGAACTTTACATGCACCATATTCCACACTGTTAAGCAGGCGACTTGGCTGCTTGTCTGGTTTCCATCTTTTCAACAGTATGTGAATAAATGCTAATCAATTAAAAATATCTTAGTTCTTGTAACACAACTCATACAAATATTTTGATGAAATGGCATAACTCTGAAAATATTTATGACTTTATTCTTGAAATCTCATTCTTTAATTTCTTATTGTTGCACTAATACTATGTACTATAGATTTTGATTATAAGTTATGTGCTTTTTGCTCATCCATGTCTGTGATGGGACAGAGCCTGTTGAGAAATATCCATCATTATAAATTTTGACGATGTTAACACTGTTTTATCATAAAAGAATTCTTCCAGGAGAGTATATACTGACCATGCAGAGGACTTTAAAATACTAAAGTGAGAAGTGGAGTGTCACACTTATCAAATAACCGAAAAGGATCCCCGCTTGGACAACTTCTGACCTAAATAAAGAGATCAGGCACAGGAAAAGACCAACAGTTTGACCAAACATTCAACTTCAGCTCTTAGCGCCAAGACTTTTCCATTCAGAGCTTAAAAATTGTCACTGCTGACTATTATAGTCCTGAACATGTACAAAGAGCGAAGAAAGTTGACCCGTTCTGCTGCAGTCAGACATACAGGAGTATGTTTGTTTTTAGGTAACAAAAAAATCTTAAATTTAACACGAGGCACACTGCAAAAGACTGAATGCGGGACTCTTTTTTTGATAAATTAACTGATGAATCATAAACCAAAGACCAATTTACAAATTCGATCCTGTCACTTTCTGCTAAAAATGCACAACCTTAACATAGTATACAACATTGCAGTCCACATTTTATTCCTCTCAGCTTGCGTTGGATATAAAACCAGGATTTATATTCAAACCTGTGGCAATGTTTCCAAAGTCACATCATGCTAATAAAGTTGCTGGATTAAGAAACGAGTGTGTTGAGAGTGTGTATGGGCTGAGAAAGACTTTGGAGAAAATTGTAAGTAAAGAGAAAAATCAGTTGAAAGATGGAGGCAGAGAGGTGAGAGCATAAACCCGGGCAGAGAAATAGAGTGAGCCAAGGTGTAGAAACAGGGGAAGGCGGGGAGGGGGGGATGAAGGGGAGGGTGGTGGTGGTGGGGTTTAGTGTGAAAGGGGTTAATAGCAAAGTGGAGGCTCAGAGCTGATCGAAATGCAGAGCGTGTCCCCCCAGCCCTGTGCTCAGTGATGAGTTGGAGCTGAGATCTGGCGCCCGCTATAAAGGAGCTCATTGAAAATAATTCAGAGTGACGGCTGTGCAGGAAGGGAAACAGGAGAGGGGTGGGTGGGTGGGGTGGGGGGGCTGGTGGTCGTGGTGGTTGAGGAGGAGAGGAGGGTGGAGAGCAGAGAGGGAGGGAGGGAGGGAGGAAGGGAGAAGGTGGTAAAGCTACAAAGGGAGTGAGATGGAGAGTGAAAAGGGTAGAGCGGGAAGAAAGAGAGGTGGAGATTGAAATACGAGGGGAGACGGGTATGGACGACAGGTGATAAGGTGAGAGGGTCAGAATTATGAAGGAGTCAGGAGAGTAAAATAACAATCCTCTGTAGCACGGTGAGGAAATAATGCTGGACTCAACACCGTACACCAGCTCTCAGTCCAAAATCAAAAACACTCAAAGTTCCAACTCTCTGTCTCCACACAAATGGATAAAACGTTTGCCTGGATGCACAAAATGGTGCTTTAAATATCCAGAAATCTGGTTTTGAACAGTACACAAATAAAGTCATTCTCAGTGACACAAACTAATATATGATACTTGTTACCTGCTCACTGTTTTGACATAGGAACTCCAATTAAAGTTATAAAGGTACTGTGGCTCTAAAGTCTGGTTATGATGAGCGCGCTTATAAATGAAGGACATATTTTTTACATCTGTTTTTTTTCAAAACATAATCCAGATTAAAACAAACATCAAACTTATTTAATCAGTCTACTGGCTTTATTCACAGGTTAGAAATTAGTTTGAGTAGTAAAGTCAGCACAGGGCCAAAATATCTGACATTTTCAAGATTATTTAGCTGTGTGAGGCATGTTCAGCGTGATCCTGTTACCCCTGTTCTGCTAAGAAAACTACCAAGGCCACACAGCTCCATGCAAACCCCTCTATCTGACTGTAGCAAGATCTAGAAGGTGAATAGTATCAATATGTAGCTAAGAATACGGGTAGTGAACAAAAACAAAAGGTACAGTGCTGGAAAATTATTGTGTTTTTTTAGCTCAACATACATTTCATTCGTCACCTGCTAATGGTTTGTTTTTGTACGTAATAGGTCAATGGGAGACAACCTAGTAGCTAAAGCTAAAGACAGCCTATCACCACCTACTGTAGTAGAAGTGGACATGCTTCTGTCAGTAATTTAGTTCTAGCTTGATCAATCTTGTTCTGTCCTGCCACCTCTGGTGTTTCATGTAGATCCTGTCTCACCCCTGCAAATTCTATGTCACTACCTCCAGAACAGAATCATGGATCATCCCACTGTTAACACCTTCTTGACATGCTGAATGAGATGAGACATTACAGGGGCTCAAAAGTCTTGCCTTCAACTTGAGCTTAATCAGTGTGGTTGTGGTGACTGGTGCTACTGCAGCCAGCCTCTAGTGGGCACTCTGGGAACTGCAGTTTTCAGCACTTCAGCTTCATTTCTCAAGATCAGAGGTTGGTGCTCGGTAGAAGCACAATGAAGCAGAGCGAGCTGTAGTACACACAAACCCCCCTGCTCTGGAGCGGCGACTGACCAAAGACGGATCTTGAGGAGTTACACTGTTTGCCTCTGCCTGGAGCACTGTCAGACTGTCACTTTATAAAAAGCTGTGCTCTAACTCCTTCACCTGTTCCTCTTGTCAGTAAGGAACAAAGGACTGCAGCCTTACTATTTCAAAGAAGAAGTCTTATTTTTATAAGTGACCAAGCCTAAAACTTGGGCATCTAACCAGGATGCCTCCGGGACGCCTCGCTGGTGATGTGTTTTGGGAAGACCCAGGAACGTTGGGGCGACTATGGCTACGTTTACTAATGCCCGGCTATTTTCATAAATGGACATTTCACCCTCTTCATTTACACACACACATAAAAAAAAACAGTTTTCATTTACACTAACCCGTGTATACATGCTGTCAAGAGCATGACAAACCTGTAGCAAGAAGCTCGAGGCCATGTTTGCCAATCAGAATCCCACGTAGCAGTAGCAGTAGCAGCAACAACAACAACGTCACTTCCTTCTTTC